TGTTTACCTTCACAGTATCCAATACGAGAGAAAAAACATTAGAAACGTGAAAACACGTGTGATTTCAATGACAATTTTTTATTTAGTTTTTTTTTTTTGATGAATTAAGCTTGATCCACCAAACTACACACACGTTATGTGAAGAGATTGTGAAAAAAAAATTGCGTTGATATAGCATATTATATATTTTCACACAATGTTTACGAAAATACGATTTGCAACACTAATGATTTAGATTCTATGTTCTTAAGCTTCATGCTTTTCTTATACATTCCCATCCCCCCCAAAAAAAAAAAAGATAAGAAAAAGAACCAAACAAAGACCCCCCAAAAAACCCAACCTATTTTGAACTGCTCTATTCAAAAGCAAAAAATGTACTTTTTATGCAATCTTCAAGCGTCGTATAACTGTTTTACTTGAAAACGGTTCTAATCGCTAAAGTAGATGTTTCTAGACTAAAACAGCCCAAAGTATAGGACTTGGTAATGGATATCAGAACTGACCTCTTCAGGGCTGTACCTAGTGTACCTTAATAATAAAGCAGCTGAAGACTTTTTCTGTCCAGGTATACTCTGTTAAGAGACGCTTGTTTCCAACCGATATATCACGATGCAACTGTTCTGGTTTTGTTCTCGTTTGTTTTCTCTTTATTTGATATTAATGAATTATAATTGGTTAAGAGAACCGAACATGTAGCACAACAATATTAGAACTGCTCTGTTGTTTTGTTAAGCTGTCTGTAATGAATTTAAAGGACATGTTGAGGGCTCTGAAGTATAACAATACAAACGTGCTGGATTCTTTTTTAAAATGTTATTAATGAATTATTTTAGCGCTCTTTTGGACTTAATGTCATTTGTTTTTGTCTACAGAGCTGTCGAGTCCTGCGTTTTTTGGTTAATTAGTTAACATCTTTGCAGCTTGTCTATTTTATCTTTTTTTAAATGTCCGTCTCTTTGATAAGACATTTATCCCCTTTTGACCGTTTGATTCTGGCAGATAACGTCGACGCAGCACGTCTCCTATTTGTTCAAAACTTTGCATGTGTAGGTTCATCATATACCATAAACATAAATACATACATAAATAAATTTTTAACAAATAAACAAATAATTTTCCCGTTTACCAATACAATAAGCCCTATCCGCTTTACAAACTACACTATTACCCAAGACCTGAAAGCATTCTGAAACAAATCTTAACTTGTCAGGGAGCATAGAATGCAAGCTGCCATGTTATAGACTCTAAAACACTAACGCACTGACAAGTATGTAGAATATACACACAAAGATATCAAATACACAATACTACACGAATGTAGACAATTTTACAAATATGTCATTGCTGGTTCTCCCTGTTCAATGCACCCCCATTCTATCTAATGTTGTCGTGTTTTGCTTGTCATTATCAGTTTTGAGCCTAAACTCTCCAACCACTCGGCCACCAAAGAGCCACCCCCCCCCTCGCAATTATCCAAAGCAAAATTTTTACTATAGTGCAGTCAAAAATTCATTGCGCAACTTACCCAAATTACTTTGCAAATCAGTTTGTATCAATTTGTCTTAACTTAATCACATTTTTCCACAACAATTAAAGTTCGATTAAAAAACGTTTTTGTCCTTAATTTATGTAAAATACTACAAATGTCCTTCATGCGGAAAATGAAATTGTTCACAGCTTTCCGCTTCTCACACACATTTTGCATACGCATATGGCTTACGTCACAGCCCACCTATGACCCTTTTAATAGCAAAACTACTTACAAGCAATTAATTTGATAGTGAACACTTTTTTGCACTAAAAGTTCTCAAAACATGCTGTCAATAAAGATTATCTCGAGATTTGAAAATAATGACAGATTTGCTTTTAAGAGCAATATTGTTAGACTGTAAACCTTTTAAAATCAGTAGAAACCACCCACTGGGATTTAAAAAAAAATTGTATTTGTTAAGGAATTTTCTAGAATAGAGCTAAGAGATGTTTACCAAAATATTGATATATTAAGACAAATTGATACAAATTACTGGGCAAAAGCTTGAGAGTTTAGGTTCGATAGTTGAGGAGATATTTGACAATAAGTTTCGCCTCGAATTTTGTACCGTACTATAGCTCTGTCGTCAGAAAACATGAGAGAGGGTAAAATAGACATTTGTGAGGCAGCGTTGTGGAATCAGGCACTCGTCAATTTTTGGGCCTGTAGAGTTATTTGTATCATCTTAAAGCTTGTTCACTTGTCTTTTTTTGAATGAAAAAAATATCCATTTATCTTAAATGCAAGTCGAGATATTTGCGAATGAAGGGGGTGGAGGTCACCTGTTTTCAGAGGTAAAGTTACTGAGAAAATGGCTGCCAAAGATTAATTATTTCCTTAGCTTAAGAGTACGTGGTAACTGAAAATTTACATTTTTTGTGCCTTTAACCAACGTTTTTAAGAAACATCCATACAGAAATGAATTCTTTAATGGGCATGAAAGGTGTTGAGCTAAAAAACAATAATTTGACATAAAAATGCAAATTTCTTCACTTTTATTATTTTGACGAGAGCCTGATTCCACCACGCCGCCTCATATTTAAAAACAACGAGAACTATCCTGGTTTCCATGCCTGAACTTTTTGCCAACATCACTGCTAATAGTGATGTTAAAATTTGACTTTGGCTTGTTTGGAAACATCTTCATGTTGGTGGTGGTACTGGTGCAGAGAAGGGCGTTTGGTAAGTTCTTTGTTAATGATGACTTGCCACAGAGGTTCAAACTTGTCTGATTCACAGAGGTTCAAACTTGTCTGATTCACAGAGGTTCAAACTTGTCTGATTCACAGAGGTTCAAACTTGTCTG